TATATTTTTAGTTTTGCATATAAATACTGAATTTATAATATTTGAAATGAAATCAAAGGTTGAAAACTAAATGCAATTTTCTTAGCGCTGCTGTCATTCAATTTGAGAGACATTGAGAATAATTTTAAACAAAAATATAATATCCGTAAAAGACTCGTCGGAATCAGTCGTCAAATTTTGATTCACATTTAAAATCACGATATTTTTGATATATTAGGGAAAATAAGCCAAAGAATGTTTTATATGTAAACACACTTTACGTCTCAAATAGCTATCATATCAAAAGTCAAAAAGTTTTTTTGTTTGAAGTCTTTTCGTATATTTTATTTAAACATATTTTCGTCGAAAAAAACACAAATAAACCACAAATTCTTAAATAAATAAAATCATGAAAAATGTGTTTTACTATTTTTTAGTACATTTAAGTGTAATATAAAAATATGAGACATAATTAAGTATTAATACGTGTAAACCAGGTATCGTTGGCCATATCGGACTTATGTGTAGCAATTCTGGTGATGCCTTTGGCCCTACACTATGAGCTGACGGGCACTTGGAATCTAAGCCCTGGTATATGCGATCTCTGGGTCTCATTTGACGTGACGTGTTGTACCTCATCTATCCTTAATCTATGTATGATCTCAATCGGTATGAATTCACTTTTGTCTTCCTTTCATGCAAACTGACTGACTGACAGACACGAGAGAGAGAGAGAGAGAAGGGACCCAAAAGCGCGAGTAAGAAAAATGGTAACCTATTTTCAATATTAAATTACACATTAGATTGACTGCAAATTGCTATTGAATTGTCATTTCATATTCGTTTTGTCCACACTATTCACGTAATGGTATAATGGACCACCAGAATCACCCTGGGCAGAGAGAGAGAGAGAGAGAGAGAGAGAGAGAGAGAATAAGGAAACTTAATAAGCAGTATGTGAATAGTGAATATATTGTGACTAATGATATGTAATCCTTTGTGTGGACACGAAAACAATGGATTGTATGGATCAGATCGTTATCTGGCGATCACAAAGCCGCTGACATATGGTGTGCAACGGACTGCCAAAAGAATCCTGTCATTCATCGGCGTCGTATGGGTGGCCAGTGTTCTCATAAGTATACCGCCATTGTTAGTATTGGGTAATGAGCATGGTAATGCACAACAGGCCACTTGTATGGTGAGCCAGAATATTGGTTACCAACTGTACGCCACTTTGTCTGCCTTTTACATTCCACTCACTGTAATGATTGTCGTGTATTACAAGATATATATCGCGGCCAAAAGGGTAGTGGAAGCGGAACTGAGAGATCAGTTGCCGTCGACTAAACCACATACACCGCACTTACCATTACTGAAAAATCACCAAAACTCTAGTGACAATCACACGAAAAAAGTGGAGTCAAACCACGTCTGGACGCGAATTAAAGGTTGCGATTGCTATGAAAATACTCAGAAAACGGAAACAATAGCTATAAATGCGGACCAGATCTCAGTGACGAAGACATTACGACAAACAAATGGTATGTCGAGTACAGGAAGTGCTGCGACAACACCACTCGCATCGCAACCATCGCACACATCATCATTAAAACCGGGTCTCGAGACTCAACAAAAGAGATCCTCAGACTCTTCAACAATCAATACCAGCCATGCATTCAAAAGGCGAACGTCTAATGCATTACGAGAGCGAAAGGCATCGTTTACTTTAGGTTTGGCCATAATTTCTATAATATTATCTCATTTTAACACTACTCTAACTTTTGCTCCACATTTACTCTCGTATCACACGATATAATACGAGTGCTGTCTTTGCTCTTCTTGTGCTCCACTTATCATACAGTTATGCCGTACTTATCATTTAGTATTCAATACAATACCATTCATATTAGCCATTCATTTACAGCACTCGTCTAATATATATCACTTTACGAGAGATTGAAAGTCAAACTAAACCAATAATATGTTATGCCTTTTGTTTCAGGAGTCATAATGACTGCATTCACTGTTTGCTGGTATGAATCAAAACGAATATGAAATGACAATTCAATAGCAATTTGCAGTCAATCTAATGTGTAATTTAATATTGAAAATAGGTTACCATTTTTCTTACTCGCGCTTTTGGGTCCCTTCTCTGTCGTACAGATTCCTCGTTTCGTTACGAGCACTACATTATGGTTGGGTTACGCCAACTCTGTATGTATACCAACCCATATCTATTACACATCACATAAATACCTTATTTCCTGCTTTTATACGAATTCTGGACTAAATTCCTTAGAATTCTTAGAATATTCTGTGTTTTATATTCATATTTTTATACTTATTTTTTTGGTGACAATCTATTAGATGTTGAATCCAATAATTTACGTGACATTTCATCAAGACTTTCGTCGAGCGTTTAAATATCTTCTGTGCCTCCAATGCGCGACAATGGGCTCCAGACTACGGGCCGAGGCTTACCAAAGCCAATACGGCACCGAAAGGGGTCAGTTCGTGGCCAACGAGTTCGCCACCACTAATGCCGAAAGTTTTTCGGACAATAAAAATATGATTCACTTTCGAGAAGAGCGTCGAAGTACTGGCGGTCTATGCAGTGGTGTTGAGATCACATCCCGAGACCGGATCGACAAACTAGAAAACGAGGCAACGCTTTGATGTCTTCTCCCTTTTGCTAAAATACTATACATTTTTCAAACGAAAAACTAGATAAATATTATCAATACATTTATCTGAATGTGTTTTTTGTTTTGTTTTTTTTGTAAAAAGGTTCACAAAAACTATTAACGTTACGAAAAACTTTAAGACTCGTTTTTATCATTAAATTCAATAAACGGTTAAATAAATAAATCATTTCTATTTACAGGGATTTCCAAATGTTATCAATTTTATTCATACATTACATTATTTGTAACATATTTGCGATTCTCTCTCAGCTTTTCATTATATTTTTAAATAATAATATAATTTCATAGCGTTTCATACAATCATTTATTATAATTATTAATATTATTATATTTTGGCCGCAATTAAGAAATCCTGGAATCTCTCTAACAAAACAATTATCAATTTAAATCAAAATATAAATATTACCAAAAATACATATTTTTAACAATTTTTTATTTATGATGAAATTTAATAAATTGTTTTCATTAAACAGAATATTCTATCAAATGTTTCATTTTTAAAACAATTGCATTAAAAATCTAACAGATTTTTAACCAAAGCTTCAGAAACAATAGGATTAAATAAATTGAGACTATTTTGATGTTATAAACACTACATGTAAAGAAAAGAGTCTACTTTACAGTAAAACTGAATTAATATAAACTAAATTTATATTTATTGTTATTTATGTTTCATTGATTATAATTCAAATAATTCATATCCTATACATCTATGGATAAACAATGAGATTATTTGGCTTACAATAAAGACAATTCTTTGATTAAACCCTTTGTTAGATTTTTAAATATATATTTTATTTAAAAACTATTCAATTATTGAATCGATTCTTGCTTTTCATTCATTGTTTACATTGAGTTACACTTGTTTTCTCTAAACATACAGTATATGACTTCAATAGCAATAAAAGTAGTGAAAAATTGATATATTTGTCCAAAAAATCCTAAAGTTTATTGGATTATGAATTTGAAAAGTTGTGCCAATTCTTCACATCTATCACTAAATCGATATTTTTTCCGATTTAAATTTGAGTTTTGCGTATTGTGTACACTGTTATTAATATTTGTCGGCATCTAACTTCACATAGATTTTAACATAAATAAACTATGTTTTACACTTTAAGTTAAAGATCGGAGTCTAAGGGGAGATAATATCGTTAATGTTTTCCTAATAAATAAAAATGCATTTGTATTTACGATCAGTTAATTTGAGTTAATTAATCAAATAAGATATTATCGCAAATAAATGCTTTCGATTGACTCAAAATATTATTATTGTTATAGTTTTGTGTTGTGTTTGGAAATCCCTGGGATTGTGGTAATGATGTCATCTAATAAATTGCATAAATGTAAGTGCTTTGGCATCACATCTATTCCACACCACTTTCTCTCCCTCCCTCTCTCTCTCCCTCTCTCTCCCTCCCTCTCTCTCTCTCCCTCCCTCTCTCTCTCCCTCTCCCTCTCTCTCTCTCTCCTCTATAACTCATTTGTGCATTTGAGCCAAAACTCAATGATAATAACAATTAATAATTTATTGTTCTTCTACTCAAAGCTGTTACTAATACTACCGGTTATGAAAAAAATACAACAACTTTTAGATAAAAAATATATTAATAACTGTTGTTATAAATAATTACACAATTGTTTTCAGTATAAACTTTAATATAAATATAAAAATATCTGTTACTAATACTACCGGTTATGAAAAAAATACAACAACTTTTAGATAAAAAATATATTAATAACTGTTGTTATAAATAATTACACAATTGTTTTCAGTATAAACTTTAATATAAATATAAAAATATCATTACTTTTCATTCCCAGAGAACACATCTCTTCAATATTATTGATAACTAATTTTTATTGAAATGTTATCCAAAAATAAGTTACATTTTATTAAATTTAAAACAATTTCGTTCTCATTGTTAATGAAATATAAGTCAAATGCAGGGTATTATACGGTTTGCCTTCATATCATCACTGAATTAAGTTTGCATTTCTTCCTATACTTCTCTCTCTCCGACTAAATATATAAAGACTTTTCAGACTAACAATTAAATTATCATTAAGTCATTCTCGAAACTCTTCTTCCGATTCCACAATTGAGTCTTTCCGACGATTGGATCCGAAAGTTATTGAACACAATTATAGTACTGTTATTGTCATGAGTTGCCTCTCGAGCCGCAGATGAGGAGTTATTGCATTATAATTTATACTCATCTATACTATGATGAACGATGATTCATATATAAAGTAACATTAATATATGATCGGGGTACTATTTATATATTAATATTAAATACTAAAGGGTAGACTATAATTACAAAAAACGTAACAGTTATCATGAGTAATGTATAATAGATTACCAAGTTTAAAAAATAATCACGTCTACCTATTCGAGACTTTGGCAACCGCTGGTTATTGTACTAAATATAGTCTATTTGAAAGCAATCTCTTCGACAGTTTTAACAAACCCTTCAGTACTAACCCCTCAAGAATCTCTCAATTAATACTATCTCTCAATAGTTATGAAAAATTCTTACAATCAATCGATATATTTAAAGAAAACTATTTTAAAATTCATATTAATATCGATTTATAATTTATTACGTAAACTCACAGCTAATACTAGCATTAATTTAGGCGCAAAAATATCCATAAAAACCAAAATCAATTCAAACCTAGACTAAAATTCATGCAAATCCTAACCATATTTTCTATTAGATTATTCAACAAAATAAAAAAATTCATATATAGTGTGGAGAATAATATTTGCCCTCAAATTGAAACTATCGATCGACTGTTGGCTCAAAATACAAGAGCTTTTTTCTTTGGTTGGGTTAAGACGTGAACCCAGTCTTTAAAATAAAAAAATTCATATATAGTGTGGAGAATAATATTTGCCCTCAAATTGAAACTATCGATCGACTGTTGGCTCAAAATACAAGAGCTTTTTTCTTTGGTTGGGTTAAGACGTGAACCCAGTCTTTACTTTTGCATTCACTGTTGTGTTTGGTTTTTGCAGTCTTTGAGACACAAAATTCTAGTCATAATTCAAAGAACTGAATGCTATTTAAATAAATAAATATAAAAATAAAATAAAAACTTTTATTCGTTATAATTCTCATTGAATTCTGAACTGAATTCTAATATTAAAACAAATTTAAATAAAATCTATATATATTTTCTAAATGCAAACAAATGAAAGTGTTTTATGAAATCAATTGTATTAAAACAACAACAAAATAATAATAATTCAATCAATAAAATTGTTATTTATTATCAATTTATAATAAAAATAATTCAATGTGTGATAACAAAAATACGCCAAATTATAATTATTTGTAAAACAATTCATTTTTATTAGATATTAAATTAATTTCTTGTCTAATTATCATTAAAAATATATATAATTTAATAAAAATAAAAAACATTTATAAATACTATTTGACTAAATTTTGGTCTTTTTTCTAAACAAAAATCCGGGCAAAAGAGCGACGATTGCGATCGCAATCATTTTCAAAACAGTCGATGTGTCCAACACTTCGTCCAATGAATTCAATTGTGAGATCAAACAACCCGTTTGAACGCATATGAAATTATATGGCATTAAACCTATAAATCAAGACATGTATTAATCCTATAATCAAACCAAACATATAATTTCACTTCAAATGATTGCCTACCGATGAAAACGGAGATAAAGAATAGATGAATAGGTATATCAATGATTGGCGAAGCGATGTTCAGAAACCAATTGGGACTCATTGGGAAGAGACGAAGAAAGAGGAGTACATATATGAGTTGCGATCGATTGTCAGTCACTTTCTGCCGCAAGAACTCAATACGTGTTGGAAAATACTTAACGATATAAACCTTTCCGGAAACGGAGGACAGAGTGTAACAAAAGGAAGCGCCGATTGCTGTCAAAAAACAACACAACGGGAAACCCAACCACACGTTATAGAGAGCGCCGGCCAACAGGTTCTGCGGATAAACAAGAAATACCATTACATAAACATCACATTAAGTCCCAATTCTTTTTCGGCTCAAACGCTAAAACAAACAACAAAAGTGTAATCAAGTGTTGGTTTAGTTGTCTGACCAGAAATAGTGATCCCGGGATCGCAAACGTCTGTTTGAAGACATAGGCCGAGCAAAACAATATGAAAACATATGTGCCGTTCACTTGACTGTAAGCGAGTAATAGATTCGAGAGTTGTTTCAATTGATTCAGACTATTGGGAAATCGCAGGGAATCCGATTCGCTTCAATCATTTTGAATACAATATAACAAAATAAAAATCAATACATTTTTCATTTAGGTTTAGATCAAACATTTTGATAACAACTTAAGAATCAAACTCTAGTTTTGAAATATCGACTCAATATATGTTTTTTTTTTTCGGGGAAAAGCTATTATCGAAATAGTCTTCAATGCACTCTATTTAACAATATAGTACACAAAGTGTACACAAAAATACATAAGTTATACAAAATACACTATATATACAGTTATACAATGTATTTGTATATAAGATAGGAGACAATATGCGAACAAAAAATCAATTTAATATAAAAATGTGTGAAAAGTGAGTACACAGAGAGAAATATGATTTGAAAAATACGACAACAAAATCACATAATTAAGGGACTCTTCATATTTCTTCACTTTCATTCCCTTCGCTTTTTAGTTAGAAAAATAACAAAACTTTTATTTAATATTTCATTCAACAAAGAAAATGTGATTCAATTTTCTATAGACTATAGACTCTCTTATACTTCTTTGACAAATGATAATATTCTTTAGTTTTTCAAATATATTATTAAATGTTTGAAAATAGTTATAAGAATTTATTTTCATTCATAGAGTAATAAAGTCGACAATAAGTTGTTTTTTCTGTGAATGAATTGATAAAAAACTAGTATTAAAAGTAATGTTTAGTCTCTTTGAAGAGAGAAAAACGATTTAAAAAGCTATTTATAAAGTGCTTTATTATTATGTAAATTAATTAATTGATTGCATTAAAAGTCACTTAAATGGCAATCATTTGTTGTAACAGTTATTTGAAACCATTTAATGTTTAGCAACCATTTGAAGCCATTATTAAAATGTAATTAATGGTCGAAATCAAAGGCTCTCAATATGTTTGCGTTTAATATAAATCGTGATAATTATCCCGAGATTTTTTATTTTGCCGGTAATGATAGACAACGCTTTTAGGCATTAGTTTCCTATCTTTTCTCTCTGTATATATAAATGAATGCTTTTGACTAAAGATTAACGAAAAATAATTGATTTCTGTTTAAATGACAAAAAGGGCTGTCTTTTAAAGGTTAGACAATAACTAAAGACTTAACAATCAATCGTTTTGAAGATTGTCACGGCTTAAGACAATTGATATGTCTTCATGTCCTACATTGTAATCTATCTTAATTTTTGTATTGATTTACGTTATAAATACGAGAACTATAAAACATAATACACTGAAAGTTATTTATTTTAATATAATTATTGCTAAATATAATAATTCATAAGAAAAAACAAGAATAGACACAAAACTCTTTACCCATTTGTCTCAATAGTAATCTAGTTTTAAGTCTTTATAAATTATATCAAAAATTAATGAAATTCACATTATTTTCAAACTTATTATTCAGTTTTTTAATTAATAACAACTTTTTTCCCTCTCTTTCACTATATATTAAAAATATTTATATTTTAGGCGATAATAGTTTGTCGCCAAAGGCTTAGCAAACAATAGGATTCAAAGCTTTTATTCATTATAAATATTTTTCGACACAATATATGATGAATGAACTTATGGTTGAATAAAGTCTTAATAATCCAATCAATTATTTCTCTCATGAATCACACGTTCAGTATTGCATACAATCCTATATTTCATTTACAAAACACTTTCACATTATTATAGTTACACAAAATGCTTATTAAATGAATTCATTATTCAGTAATAATTATCTAATAATGAAATGGATTTAATTAATTGTAATTACATTTTATTATTTATAATAACAAACATGCAATTCATGTGAACAGAGATTGTTTCCATAATATTAACTGATTTCTCGCCTCAGAATTTACAGAATATTCTTAAAATTATTACTTTCCAATAGACTATAGTATTTGAATAGATTTTCCATTTATATAACAAAAACAGACAACAAATGAAGGGAAAAATCTAGATCTAAACAAAATAACATTCAATGTCTACCAAATCGTAAACATTTTCCATGACTTTACCCTTAAAAATAAAAATATACAGAAATAGGCTTTTAATGCAATTCATTGAAAATGCTTTATACATTGAAAATGTTTGTTTGATTTGTTTTTTAAAATCTCGTTTTCCTTATAGGAAAACAAACACTAAATATTTGTGTTTTCTCTTTGTTTTCATACATTTTTTCATATGTCATATCATCTTTCAAAATGTCATTTCAATAGTAATTTTAAAATATATGTAATTTCAGTGCACTTTGCGTTGTATAACAATAAACAGCAAAAAGTGGATTAATTTGTCGCCAAAAAGTACTTTTTATTTTAGTATTTTTTAGGGCAAGTGTTTGATCTATACTTTGTTTAAAACGACAATTAAAACATAGAATAAGTGCTTAAAGGCATAGAAATTGGAGTTAACTATGAATTAAAGGCAGAGAGAAAGTGGATAGAGTGAGAGACGTATGACTTTTAGCAAAACATAATTAACTATTGAAATATTAAACGAGAGCTCATTAATGAAAAACGACTCTCCGATGGCTGAATGGCTGGTCGTGTACTGTATGTCAACTCAATGTAACATTTGGTTCAGTAATTAAATTGTCGATACATTATGTCATCAATAGTTTTGTGACTATTTTGTAATCACAAGTTTCGCAGACTTTTCACTTTTGCGGACGAAAATTACTTATTATTATATAATCACTTAATACAAGAAAATGACACACAATTGCAGTCGTCGTCCAAATTCAATATTAGGCTATATTTCATCGTTTGGTCCAAATATATGGACTTATCGATAGCCTAATCGCCAGTCTATTAACACATGTCTTATGGCAACCATTCATCAAATACTTCGTTAAAATTCTTTAAATTGCAAAAAAANACACACAATTGCAGTCGTCGTCCAAATTCAATATTAGGCTATATTTCATCGTTTGGTCCAAATATATGGACTTATCGATAGCCTAATCGCCAGTCTATTAACACATGTCTTATGGCAACCATTCATCAAATACTTCGTTAAAATTCTTTAAATTGCAAAAAAATTATGGTTTGTTTTTTATATATAGAACAGACCTCTCACTAGTTCTCGTCCTAATCCCTAACCTTATCACCAAATTTAAAGACTAATTAAATGTCAAATTTGTTACAATTAAATAACTAATAAAAAGTAAATTCAATTTATTTACTCAACAATCACTTGTCATTCACAGAATAACTGATATTAATTTAATAGACATTTATTAAATTAAAATATTATTATAGTCGACTCAAATACAGGATATGTATTTGATATGTAGAATGGGTGTTGTTGATGGGCGCCCACCCCCTACACCCCCACCAACTGTTTGCTTATTAATAATCGTAATATTAAAAGAGGTAAACATATAACTACTACTTGTAATGTTTGAAGTGTATAATTGTGATGTCATAATTACCATGGCAAGTTTCATATTCAATTTAAATTATGAAATTAAAATTATTCCATCACCTTTATCAAACTAGATCCAATGTTATATTTTGGCATATGGATAAGATTAAGCAATGTCATAAATATCTAGACACATTTTTAATTCAAAATTTAAAAAATTTAAATTTACAAATTTTATAAATTCTGATGACCACTACTACTGTACGGCCACTAATAATATTCATGTTTTATAAGTTATTATTAGAAGCGATATATTATTCGGTTAATACGGTTTCCTATGCAACTTAATTTAATATCGGTAAATTTAAAACTATACCATCATAATTAAACATAACTTTATACAGCACAATATATAACATAATAAGTGACAACTATTAATATCAAACTCATTGAAATTATAGTTTAAATACAAAGTTTGTATGACAAGTTGACCAAAATGGACCATGGTAGTTTTAAATAGTAAAAATATACAGAATATTAACAGAATAACACGTGTATAACACCTGGTTGTCAACCCTAACCCCGCAGTCGTAACCCACACCCCATTTTGTGTCAAACAACGAGTTCTTTATCTCAAAACCAAAGTTTGATTCAAATTAAACGCAAAATGTATTAACAATTTCTCGCAAATTATTGCTTACTTTTGAGTGTTTGTAAGTTTGGGCGCAATTGTGACCAAAAAGTACAGCCAAACCATACTTACAGCCAATAATGCGATCGGTATTAACACACGATTACATACTATTGACTTAATTGTGATCAACATTTCGTTAATTGTTATAACAATTTATATTTCATAACAAAATCACATTTACATTATACATGTATATTGATGTTTAAAATGATTTGTTTGTTATGCAATATGTGGTCATTAATAACGTAACATAAATGTTATTATTAATGAAACCCTTGATCTGAGCGCACGTTTGCCAACAATACACATATTTTACATCAACTCAACGCTAAACGCGTTATTTATGTCTAAAATGTGAATATAAGCAGTGATTTAAAGGGACGTTGAATGCCATCCATTGAGTGTAAGATATAGTGAAGATAATCGGCGTTTTAACCCAATTCTGCACCACTTTATTCCCTGCCTATTATTATTATTATTATTTTCATTCAATAATCTAGGTGCAAAATTTATACCACTTTAATGCAGACCCGAACTGATAATCTAGTTATTTTTGTAACTAATAAAAGGTCACCTGCGGTCACAAGTGTCCTCTGGGCCCTGACATTGACCCCAACCCTCTATCAGAATATATTTCCTATTCATATGTTACCAATGCTTTAGGTATTAAAATGAATGGAAACTTTTATGATTATAATTTTTGTTTGAGAAACCTATCATGTTTATAAATTGTTTGCATATTAATAGTGGGGTTTTTTTTAATTATTCATTGATTCTTAGATTTGTTTTTCAATAAAACCCACTATTGGTGTAATGAAGACTATTTCCTATTCATTTCAATTATAAAAATAATTTGCAATATATTTACGTATATTTAAGGATATACTTAATACTTGAGCGGAATATACACAACATTAAACAGCTTTTTGTGTTCAATATATTAGAGAACAGTTGTTTTGTTGTTTTTAAGTGCCTATTATTTAATTAATTAATTCCATATATTTCCTATTATAAAAATTGACAAATTTGACGTTTTTATACAATAGGCATTACATTAGGGGCAATACAAATGGATATATTGCTATCATTTGATAACTTCAGAAAACCCATCGATTTAAAATTTAAATTGTCCTTTCATTGACTCACTTTTTGTAACGATTAACTTATTCAACAAATTTAATCAATTTCAATGAATTATGAAATAATAGCACAAAGAATTTAAATTATAAAATAATTTAAATACTAAACTCTATTGATTTTTAAGAATAATAATTTTCATTGGTTTTCATAATAATTTTATGAAATATAATATTTAAATAGTAGTCAAAATATTATAAAAATAAGCA